AGTAGTCTGCTGCCTTCCATGCGCTTCTCTTCATCTTTTCCATCCTGCTCCGAGCCCAGATGACCTCTATAGCCCACTTTTTCCCATGCTTCCCTTGCCACCTGGGTTCCATCTGGGTTCACCCAATGGGAATCCAGCAGGACTCGGAGGGAGGAGGAGGAATGAGGTCTTGCTATTTACTCCTCCGGCCTCCTTCCTGAGGGGTTGCCTCAGGTTGGCTGCGACCCGTGATGGGAGTTCCTGGCTCTTATCAGGCGGTCTTCTCACGCAGTGCTCTGACTCTTAGCGCACATTCAGTCCTAGGGGTGGTAACCACGATAAACCTGACCAGAACACAGCTGCAAATTCTTTGATGCTCCTGTCACCAAGAAGTGGGGTCTAAGTCCTCTCCCCTTGAAAGTGAGTGGGCTCTGTGACTACTATGAATAATAAAATATGACAGAAGCAACATTATTTCAGTTTCCAGACTGGCAGCGTCTTGGAGACCTCAACCCACAACCCACAAATAGGAAGTCCGACTCCCTGAGGCTGCCATGCTATGAAGAATCCCGAGCTAGCCCTGTGGAGAGGCTTCGTGGAAAGAGGAAAAGAGGGAGAGAGAGAGGCCCAAGCTACTTAGGCGCCAACTTTTGTACCCATTCCAGCTGAGGCCCCAGACATCACAGAACGAAAATGAGCTGTCCCTTCTATATCTTGCCCTAATTCCTAAACCAGAGATATGTACTTTATACTAATGATAAATGATTTTTTTAAGCATTTAAGTTTCAACAGATCATTGAAACATCACACTCTTGTATGCTAAAGGTTCTATCGACCTGGCCCCTGAGTGAGGAAACCATGGAGCAAAGCTGCCTGCACACTACTCACGCCACAGCCCTAGATGGACAAAACATAAACAGTTGTTATTACAGCTCTTGGGATGTTGGTGTTGTTTGTGACTGCAGTACAATCATAGTGACTGATACAATAAGTTATCTAGTCAAGCTAATCCTGATCAAAACGCCCCCCTGCACGAGGGGAGCATTTGAACTCCCAAATATGCTACACAAAGGAAGGAGGTCTATACATTAAGCAAATATATATGTCTATCTTTTCTACATCTACAATCAGGATAACCATGGAAATCAGTCGACCACGTGGCAGCATGTGGTGGCCATGGAAACGCACCCCTTACACCTCCAGCTACAGGAAGCTTCACTGATGTGACCCTGGGCCCTGTGGCTACACTGAAACCCTCACCACAGCCCCCACGGGCCACTCACAGCCAACTGAGTGCAGCAGGGACACTGGGGCAGACCTGTTCCTGGGAGACACAGGTCCCCTCACTGCAGTCTGGGACACCCCCGCCAACCTCGCCTCCAGTCCTGCACGTGCTATCCGACGTGCACTGCAGTCTGACAGCTCTCCCAGCCTCCCCACCTTGCTCCCTATTTTCTCTCTCACCAGCATTTCCCCCAGCGAAATCCTTGCACATTTAATCTTATTTTGGCACCCACTCCACTGAGAACCCAGACTAACACAACCATACCAATGAATATTCAGCTTTGAAAACTTAGCTTTGATAAATTAAACATAGAGAGACAACAGAATTAGCTCTTGATGGATAAGGGCTGTCCCATTAATCTAAAGTCAAAAATAACCATTTTTGCACAACATGATGTCCATGTCTATGGCTCGATTTAATTCCTAAATGACCTTATTAACATGGTATCATTTTCTTGAATATGACTTTTACAAAGAGTGATTTTAACCTATCTCCCAAAACATATCCTTTTCTAAGCATCCAAAATAGGCTTTCGATCCCTTATCTAAAACCCCGGAGACCATGTGTTTGGGAATTTAAACTTCATATTTTAAAAAAGTCATATAACATCTGCCATATTTGACATAACCCAGCAGGTCTGGAGCAGAACTCTATAATCATATACATTACAAACATACAAATATTACACAACATACAAATATTAACACGAGTGAGATAAAAACAGCCTCGAGACAGTACAGGAATGGGTTTGCCTCCAAATGAGTTCAACAAAGGTTAGGTTGTGCTATCACATGAATTTTTTTTTTTTTTTTAATTCAGTTTTCAGAGCTTTTTGAATTTTGGAGTTGTAGGTAGGGGATTGCGGACCTATATAGTCACACTAAAGAAAACGATGCAGCCCTATTTAAAAAACAAGCAAACAAAAAACAGATATGTCTTTGTATCAATCCAGAAAGAGAAATGGCCATCCCACAGCATTGGGTGAAGAAAGCACGGAGCAGAACAACTTGCGAAGGCAGTATTTATTTATTATACACGCATAGGGTGGGGAGAGGACAGACAGACAATCTTCACTTCTCAAGCAACTCTCCGCCCCCCTCCCCACCTTTTACTACGACAACCCTTTGAAATGACTTTATCTCTGGCTAAGAAATGCTGTGGAAATAGTGTTTATGAGTATTGATTGTGATGTGGGCAAGTTTTAAAGTATGAATTGATGTTATTTTTGAGACAGAGAGACTAAGTTCGCCTCTGCAAACTGTTTATATTGACGGCAGGTAACTAGAATGTTTTACATAAACTGGGGGCCGAGAGAGTACACAAAGGAAATTTACTTAGGATATTAAATAAGGCTCCTCTGTCAAGGCAAGGGACCCAGGATTTGAAAATTAAGGACAAGAGCCCCTGCAATAGAGACTCCCAGGTATCCTTTCTTACATCAAAGGAGAGGATACGGGATATAGGGTGTGACTGCTATCAATGGGAACTCCTCAAGAAACACCCAATACCGGACATCTTTCCTCACCTGCCTCTGAATCCCCGTCTTCCATGCATAAAAGGCTCTTTTCTGCATCGACCACTTAGGGAGAGGCTTTTCTCCTTCTCCCTTGCCCTGCTTCCTTCCTAAGATTTTAATTCTAAATGATAAAAACACAAACAACAAAAGATGAAGAGCAGGAAGACAGACAAATTAAAAAGGAAACATTCTCCTCCGTCACTCCAATAACCCTGAGAGAAACGGTCTGCAATGGTCAAAAGTTAAGGAATCTTAATTAGATATTGGAAATTCAAATCTAATATGGTAATATTCACTATACATTTATATGTTCAATATTGACTTTTTTCACAATAAGCATGCAGGAAAATAACTTCATGATTTTTAAAATCTCACATTTAAGTTATGGACATGCCTGAGAACAATATTAGTTAATATATGTAAAATGCTCTTATTATTCTCTACGAAGCCCTGTCTGGGGATGTCCTAAGTGCAAACGCTCTGATTGGCACTTTAACAAACATCATTCCATTTGTGCGCTGCTTATTCAGCCTCTGAGTCTAAGGCACTGTGTTTGGCACCGGAGATACCCCAGTGAACAAAGTAAGTGTGACCTCTACCCCCAAGAAGCAGGAAAACCATCGTGGAGGCAGCATTAAGCGAGTTAATGCACGTTTGATGAGTGAATTCCATCAATGATGAGTGTTAGGAGCAGAAGCACAGAGTAACCAGGCAGATCCTCACTGCAGCTCTCTTAGGTCGATCTCATCCTCAATTATTGGTAAAGAGTTCTCATTAATATTTGCAGCATTAAGGTATGCTAATTAGAATAATCCTGAACAAATAATAATTTTATAATTATAGCTATTACAAAATGACTTTGGAAATTATTTTATATCAACCGGTCAATTGAGAAAAGAATGGGAATAAATGTGGAAGAAAGTCTAAATGTGTGACAGAGTATATGGATAATCACTGCCCTCAAATTTCACTAGCACTGTTGGATTCCTCATAGAGGAAAATTCCTCCACGCAGAGGTTTAGAGACCTTCAAGGCAAGACGTCGACCCCACCCCTAAAACGGAAAAACACTAGCATAAGGACAACGTGGAAACAAATATCAGGTTTGTATTTTCCAAAGACATGTTCCATATTTTACAAGACATTTTAAATTTCAAAGACTGGTCCCTTTGTGCCCATAAATCACTAAGACAACCTGGAAATCTCAGTACTTTGATGTCAAACCACATCCAAGATTACCTCTAGAACCTAGAAATAACACAAAAATCCTAATCAAACCAAGTACCTTGTTTTGAAAAATATCCCCACTATGCTCAAAAGGCACTAAAATGGTAAGAGATAAACATCTTCATTCAAGACCTGCTGCACTAAACTAGAACTCTCATCAGCATGTACAGCCGGGCTTCAAAGTTGGCATACTTAGGTAATCTTAGATTCTGTAAAATGAAAGCTCATGGAAATGGAACGTCCAAATGTAGAAAAGTGGGTATTCCATCAAAAAACATGTGATAAGTAGTTTCTTGCTTCCTTCCCTACCAGCGCTGTCAATTCCAATAACTTGACAAAGATCCTCTGGACTAACCAATGTATATGTCTATTTAATGAAGAAAAAAACTCCTTAAAATGAAGAATTCTAGGTCCCTGGGTATCTCCTGACAGCTCATAATGGAAAAGCTATCAGTTGACATGTTACACAAAATGAGAGTGACATAAGGAATTCAGAGTGGTGTTAATGAGACAGCCAACCCTTGATGGGACCTTAACTTGGCTTCACTTTAAATTTTACTGTCGCAAAATTGTTATAATAAAGAAGTATGTTCTAAGAGTTGGCAAATCATGGGATTTGTGCTACCATTGACCTTTCTCCACATCCATAGTTAACCTTGCATCCTCTAGAACAGACTTGGCCTTAGAAGACAGCATAACAGAGAGTTCCAAGTAGCCACTACCCATGAACTGAAGCAGGCACAAGAGTCAGTCTATTTGCCAATCCTAGTTTAGACTACCTTACCTGACATTCAAAATGCCATATTCTGACACCAAATGGATCCCCATCAGACTTAAGCTGTCGCCATTGTTAAGGTCTGTGTTTGATACTGCTAAGGAACGTGGATGGAACGAGAAGAAAAATAAGGCTAAAGTCACAATCAAGGGTTCACCTTCCTCAGTTTCCAAATCTGTTTGTAATACAGATAAAAGATGACATCAGCCAATCACTGACCTTATGGAGAGCAGGAGCCAAGACTGGTACCAAGAACCCATTGTAAATATAATTTACAAGCTGATTACGAATTAAGGGGTGAGCCACCTACGAGAGAAACAAGTAGTCATGAAAAAGACAAAAAATTCAATCTTTAGGTCTTCTTAAAAATCAAACATTTCTGTGTACATCCTGAATTCAAAAAGGAAATCCAAATTTTGGCCATTTATTCCATGGCCAAAAGAATAATTCAGACTTTAAACCACAGTACAATTGTTTCAGATGCTTTATTCCAGTATAAACACCTTGAGCTTTCAAATTTTAAAAAACTGGAAATTTTAAGTTTCCATTTGATAAAACAGACAATAGACTGAATATGTATATGGACTCAAATTAAAATTAACAAACTGGAAAGTATAATTTTTGCCTCATAATTTCTTCTACGTCCCATCTCAACTTGTGACTAATTAAAGAAAAAAAGAATGTAACAGTCAAAGTGGGCAATTAAATACATGTATTTTGCTACCAGAAGAATTTTCTCATTTTGAAGGTGTACTTTCTGCTACTCATTTTACTGAGAGGAAGGCACTTAGAAAATCTTTTCATAAAAAATAGATCCTGTTCAAAAGCAGAAAACATTACCAGATGTACAACACTTTCTATATTTGATTTGCAAAATGTATTTAGCATGGATAATCCCTACTAATATCTTTTGTAAGTAATATTTTCAATAGTACCCTCAAATAAAACAATTTTAAAAGTATATGGCCTGAATTTCAAAATATAGTATAAAATATATCTTTTCTCTGTTCTTAACCATGCCTGTTAGCTTTACTTCTTTAAAAAATAAAAAAAAAAAGGAAGTCGAACAATAAAATAAAAAGCAATTTCTAGGAAAGTGAGGCTAGATCTTTAAATTACTAATAATCTTTCTCTGTGAACAATTGGGAAGAAACTAATAGTTCCATCTATTTCCACACACTTCTGCAAGAAAATGTTGATAGACTCTAAAATTTAAAAAAAAAAAAATAACTTAAGATGTAATCCACTTATCTTACATATAAATAAAACTTCTTTGACTTGGCAATAAAAATGAGATGGGAACCAAAGTAATTTACTTGCATTTTCTTCCAGAAACTATTTCTTTATTTGGTAGATAAACAGATTATAACTAACATTTTTCACCTTAAAATCACCATAAAGAAAATTTGATGTCTTAATAAATCCAACATTAAGGTGATATTTATGCTGTATAGAAATAAACATTTTTGATGAAAACCTACTATATCCTTCAATGTATATGAAATCTGATTTTTATTGAAAACAATAACAAGAAATCTGAAAGTAAAAATCTAATCAAAAAGCCAAACATATTAGATAGAGCTCAGGGGCTGTTTCCCACCTCCCCCACCCCCTCTCCCCGAAGCAGGGCAATTTCAAAGCAAATTTATTTTGTGTTGCTAAGATGGTTAACTTCTTTTAAATTCAATTGGGATAAGAATATTCTTTATGTAGTATGCACCATTAAGCAAAATAAAGTGTTTTCCTATGTAGGCTCCTAAAAAGACCTTGAAATAAAAGTGGTATAATTTGGAGTACTTAGAAGCCTAAAAATATCTATTTAATGAGTCAGGCATTGAACTTATTTTTGATAGTTAAGTGGATAATCAAAACAGAATTAACATTTTTTATAAGGAAGATAAAGAAAATCTACTTATTTTTTCTCAATTAAAACTTCCCAAAAACCCATAAACTATCATTTTTCCTCATTCAAGGACATTCTGTATGCTTAAAGCAAAGTATCAATATTCCATAAACTTTTATTAAAATAAAAAAGGAAATGCTTATAAACTAATACTTCGTAGTGCTTGTACTCTGAATGGACCATAACAAAGGGCCCCTCTGTTGTGCTCTGTTACCTGGATGACCGCATTGCAAAACTCCAGGGAGTTCATGAACTGGGCCAGCGCTGGGAGAAGGAGCCAGTCATCCCTCAGAAGGCAGTGCCACTCCTCGCCTTTCTCCTCTAGCTTTGTAGGCAGGGAAGAGTAGAGACCACTGAGCCCGGTTGCAAGGACCTGTGTTCAGAAGTAAAAATGTAATCAACTCTTTTCCAAAGTCTTTAACTTGCAACTAACAGCTCCCAGGTGAGGCCAGTGACGTTGGTCCACTTGAAGTGAGTGGAAAGGTATTAAAGTATCAGAGGGCATCCGCTAGCTAGGGGGCATTTGACAGGTAGAGACAGTCGGGAAGGACGACTCCAATAGAGGGAGCAGCAGTACCCAAGGGATTTGTCTAATCCATACACAGCTGACATGTGTCTCGTATGTAGCAAGCGTGTGCTGGGCTAGAGGGGGGACACATACAAAGGTGAAGAAAACATGATTCTTGCCCCAAAGGTGTTCAGGACAGGGGCGAACTCATAATCAATGCATTACAGTGCAATACGCTGAGTGCAGATACAGAGAAGGCACACACTCCAGTCTAAGAAGGCACTTCCACCCCAGGAGGAAGCCCTGGACCAAGGTGGTTCGTGACAGAAGATGTCACAGGTAAGAACCATGAGTGGCTCTATGAGAAAGCTCTCTACAGACATGTTAAAGGTCATGACTAGCATACACAAGTTTACAGTTTAGAAAGAGCTCTAATCCGATCTTTACAAATCATAACTAGAAGAACTGGGGCCATGGGTCATTTAGATATGATGACAATTATTCAAACAGAAATAAACTGGGTCTAAACTGAAGCATTGGCAGTAGGAAAAGAGAAGAGGAATGAATTTGAGATTCACATATAGGGTACATGTGAGGGTGATCTAAGACATCTATCGATCCACTGTTAATCCAAAGCTCATGGAAGTTACTTCCTCCCTCAGTACTCTGTTCCTAAAACGATACTGACAGTGTTTGGGTTTACTAAATGAGGCTGAATGCGAACTCGAAATTGTCAAGTTATCCAGCTTGGTTGTTAAGAAAACAATGATGCCTTTAACAGAGATAGAAAGGTAGAAAATGAACACACTTGTGCTGAGTACCTGTTGATTTTATCTTGTGGAGTATAAGACCAAGAGAAACAACAAATTTCTCAGTATGGGAAGTCTTCCAAGTGGAAGTGATGCTCGCCAAACAGCACCTTAGAGATGCTGATGTGCATCTGGCAGATGGGCAAAGGGTGGACAAGCGTTTCACAGAACAGAAGCAAAGAACTTATCTATAAAAGGTCTCATCAATATATGTTTTTAGCAGGTTTATTTTTTTTTTTCAGTGTAAATATAACTGGGTCTAAAATTAGGTAGACAACTTTAATTTTGGTTAATTTACAAGTAAAATGATGACAAAAGAAAAGGCATTCCTCTAGGGTAAACCTGAGGTTATAAGGGACTCAATGGGATGAAAACGTTCAAGAAAACATTCAATCCTGAATTAGGCCCAGAAAAGAAACACCGAAGTATTTATTGATGTCAGTCTAAGAAGAGATGAACAAGCAATTACGATAGTATAAAAATGCTCAGAATACGTAATAGAAAATATATGGTGCTGTGGATATACAAAAAGGTCCTTAACTCAGTCTTGGGGGTGGGGGTTGGAGCAGGAAAGGTTCGCAGAAGAAGTGATGTCCAAGCTGCTGAAGAATAAACAGTAGTAAGCCAGAAAAAAGTGTTGGAAGAAAGAATATTTTAAACAGGATGGAAGTCTCAAAGGAAAAGGTAATGATGGCATCTTCCAGGAACTAAGCACAGTATTATTGGTGTGTAGAATTAGAAGTGGGAATCGACTGGCGAAGTAAGCAGGAGTCAGATCCTGCAGGGTTTTGTATGTCAAGATAAAGAGCTTGAGAGACATCCCAGTGGAGAGCACGGCAGGCAGCTGATGCTTAGGAGGGGGATCTAGCTTAGAGATGGAGATCTGGAACCATCCATACGTAGGTGGTACCTCAAGCCGTATAGACCAGAGGGAAAAGAAAAGGAGGTTTAGACAGGTAAGATACAACAAAATAATCCAGAGTGCCTGGCATTAGAAACAGAAATTGAGAAGGAGGTGTGGGTCCACGTATGTTGAACTTGGAAAAATTATCTATAAACTCATTATTGTCTCCCTTTTCCCGTGTTTCCACAGCACCTTCTGTATCCTTTTGTGTAGCAACTGTCATTCATTCGCTTAGTAGTGAATTGGCTGTCTTCTCCATCTCACCTGGTCTGACTTGTTTAGTCTAGGCCACAGTGGAGGTGGGGGTGACTTGTCTAGTCTGTTATGGTTTCAGATGCTAGCAGTATTTCCCATGAATAACACATTCAGCTCAACAGCAGAGCAGAGGCCTGGCCTGAGGAATGAGAACCTGGAAGTCTGAACACAGGGAAACCAGATGACGCCATGGGAAGGAAGGGGCGAGATAATGTGGGACAGAAGTCTACAAAGGAGTAGGGAGGGCAGCGAGAGAAACAGATGAACCATTTCAATATTAGAAAAACAAAATTATATGTATTTCTCTGTTCTGTTGCCTAGTGACCTTAATTCACTCATTCATTCACTCTCACTCATTAAAGAAGAACTACTATTCACCTTCAGGCCAGATAATATGGTAAGTACAAGAAACACAACAATAAACAAGATAGTGCATTTATCTCTTTTGCAAAATCAAGGCATCTGTGGTCCCAAAGGAGAATGTCCCCTATTTAAAGTACTTAACTCCTTGTCAACATACCCAAACAAATCACTTTAATTCCAGTTTTGAATATGACCCAAGCGAGTTGCCTGTAATAAATTAGAAACCTCTGCCAAGAGAGAACAGAGACCAAAAGTTCTCCTTCAAGGGAAATCTAACCTTGATGCCACATTTTTAAAACCAATTACATTTGCTAACTCATGCTAAATTAACCACAGAACAAAGGCTTTAATTCTGCATACTCCTGATTCCTTAACTACTTTGAGGCTTTGAAGATGAATTCATAAAGACAGGCTTAATTTGTCTGACTAAAAAGCTGGGAATAACTATTTAGTATATCAATATAATTACAGCAACATTAATCTTCAAATTATAGACATCAGTGGCAGTAATTAAAAATAACACATATCTAATATTCACTTTAAAAAAAAGTATTCTTGAAAAGGGCATGGCTGAGATGCGAATAGAAGACTGTGTGTATAGGACAGGGCAGTGTAATAACTGGACATGGAGTCCTGCTGTGCTCTCGCCACTATTAAGTGGAGCTAGAAGATGTCTCTGCGATATTCTTTAGGCAAAGGAACATGGAAGAAAATGTTCTGCAGAATAAAGAGTACTACATAGTCTTAAGAACAAGATTCCAAATCTTTACTGCTAAATATTTATATCCTCCATTCTCAGACTTTGCTCAGAGTTCAGATTCATTCATCTAACTCACATCTATTTCTAGAACAGCTATGGTCCAGGTACCATGTCAGGCTGGTACCGGGGTAAGAGCAGTGAACAAGTCAGACCAGGTGAGATGGAGAAGACAGACAATAAACTAATAAGTGAAAGAATGACAGTTGCTACATGCAAGGATACAGAGGATGCTGTGGGAACATGGGAAAAGAAGAGGCCACAACAGGTTTGCAGATCATTTTTCTAAGAGTTTAGGGGCACAATCTATGTACTTTTTAAAAAAATCTATTTACTTTTACATTTCGTTTTTAACTTAAAAATTAGAAAATACATAGATATTCAATAACTAATTAAAAATAAAATGCCCATCTACTATTTCAGCCTTTTTTGATCCTGATCACATAAAAGTAATTATAAAACGTATTTATTCCCAACACATTAAGTATTAACCCAATATTTTTAATTTATCTTCTCTCGAAAGTCTCTTTACAAGAAACTAATCACCATATACAACTAAAAGGATAACAACAGATAATTTAAAAAGCAAACCACTTCCTTGACAGCTGCATAGCATGTTAGTTGTTGAGACGATAGATTTTAGTATCAGAATAACAAGGTTTTGAACCTGACTGCCATTTACAGACAGTTATCAAGTTTTCTAGGGTTCAGTTTCTTCTGAGTTGCTACGAGAATTAAAGAAAATAACGCATGTGAAGAAATGACCATCATAGTTTTCACACAGCGACGTTTCCAGTGGGGGGAGAAAGATGGCAGATACAGAGCACTGAACACGTCAGGGAAGGTCCATCTTTAATGTGAAACATCTAACAGCACCCCGTTAATGTCAGCAAAAACAAAAAGAATTTTAGCAGATGGCTTTAGTCTGAAGCTAGCAGCAGAACACCTGGTAGGGACCATTTGATACACCTTGCCAAAATAAAAAGCCTCATAAATTTTACATGTGGGATAAATAACTTTCTAACTATGGCTGCATACCTGAAAGTTACTTATTTCAATTTGCATTTCCTAATTTACGCATAGGCTGTTTTCTACTTTTGCCAGTATTTAATAAGTCACAGGGCTTAATTATCAATATTTGATTTAAAAAACATAAAAGGATACAGAGTCATTTGTTGGCACTAAATTGTTCCCCACACTATCCTCATTCTCCCTCTTTTCTTGGAAAAGCACATCTCAAGAGAAGAGGCAGTGGAACCAGCAAGCTCTTCCTATCAACTACAACAACAAAAGTTTCCAAAAGTGGTCCAATTTCCTGAAAGAGTCATTACCCTTCCCAAAGCCTGATGTTAACACACTTTGACAATCATACTAATTAGAGAAAGCTTTTTGTCAATTGTGGTCCTTCGCCGGTTGGTTAACAGAGTATGCTTTATACTCGACATAAAAAGGTTCTTTTTTTTTTCTTAATTATGTTGTCAGATGTAATTATAGAAAACTGAGTACAAAGGAGATTATGGGATCTACCCCGAGGAGGCAGCTTAACACCACGGAACTGTTCCATTCTAGCAAATAAGGTCAGCTGGAGATGTTGTTTCTCCTCCAATTTTAATGAACTGTACAGTGTTTTAAAACACGTTTTTATAAAAGCAACTACTCAGTGAAATCTGCTTATAAGTGGAAATAGAAATGTTAAAAACATGCTCCATTCTAGTCTTAGTAAATTTAAATTTTTAAGTATGAAATATTACAAACACACAAAACATAACAGAATAGAAACCATCCCCAAGATTTAACAGATTTTAATATTTGACCATGATTTCTTCAAGGCCTCTATTTTTTTCAAAAAACAAAACAACAAATACGGCTAAACCTTACACCAATCCCATCACCACCCCTTCTCCTTCCTTCACCCGTAAAAGCAAGCACAGTCTTAGATTTAGTACATATTATTCCTGTACTTGTTTTCGTACTTTTACTGTATTCATATATATCCAAAAAAAAAAACAGCATAAAGATTTTGTGTCTTAAAATTTTATGGAAATTTTATGTAAATACTGACATACTACGTGTAACATCTTACTATTTACTTTTGTTACTTAACATGTTTTTAGACTTATAGGTAGTCGCACACGCAGATAGTTACATGCTAATACATATGATTCCTTCATTTTGAATGCTGAGTAGGATTCCATTGTAGATTAGTTTATCTTTCCCTTAATATACATCTTTTTTTCTTTTCCTCAAATCACTTGTATTTAATATCTTTGTGCATGTATCCTTGCAAACACGTGCTAGATTTCCCTGGGCAGATATCTGGAGTAAAGATGCAGAATCACATGGTATGCAAATATTCAAATTATATTAAATATTGCCATATTACTTTTCTGAGTTATTGTATCAATTTATATTCTCAAGAGTTTCTGTTTTTCCATATCCTTGACAATACTTGGTGTTAACAGATGTCTAACAGTTAGCCACTGTGATGAGCATTATCTGGTGTCTCATTGTGTGTTGATTTGCATTTCTGATGTGGGGAAGATGAGAATATTTTCATATGTTTATTGGCTTTGCATGTCTTCTGGGAATTGCCCATTCATATATTTTCCTGTTTTTTTAATGTGTTGTTTTGTCATTTTCCTTTAATTTGTAGCAATACAAATATTTTTGTATATTTTGGGTACCAATTAGTTATAGTTATGTGTGTTGCAAATTTCTTCTCACAATCAGTGTTTTTCATTCTTAGCTCCAGTCTTTTCTTTATGGTTGCTGTTTTATAGGAAATCTTGATAATATTTATACACGAGATAGTAATTACACACATGGGTCCTTAAGTCAGACTGCCCAGGTTCAAATACTGACTCTGTCTCTTATCAGCGATGTTCACAGGTTCAGGGATTAGAATGTAGACAGCTTTGGTGGGTTAGAGGGCATTAATTATTCTGCCTATCACAAACACTATGTCCAGTATGGAGCACTCTTGAAGAAATCCGAGCAATAACACAGCAAAATCAGAATTCTTTTAGGAGTTTAATCTGACGATGTAAGATGGGTGAGTTTGAGAGATGCTGGGATAGTAGGGAGACACATTAGGATCTAGAAATAACAGTGGTAGGAATGAGAACGAAATGGAAGAGCTGGATGTAAGCAATGTTGAGCAGGTAGAAGCTTATTAAAATATAAACTTTTTTCTGAGGGAGCTCAAAGAGAAACTTAATATATCGGTCAGATGAATGGAATCAGTTCTTCACTGCCCATTTGTAAAATCTTTGTAAAATTTTTTATTCGATTGGCCAGAACCCAGAAGAGAAGAGATACTTGGTACCCTTAATTTTTTAAATGAAATTGTTTTTCAAAAAAAATGTTTACTCATTTGTTTGCACTGAAATAAATATATGCCAGACACTAGGTGCCCCTAGTTTAGTAGTAAAAACAGGAATTTAGTTGTATAAAGAAGACTACTGCTTTTGAACCTCAAAGCAAAACACAGCATGTTACTCCCTAGGGTTGCTATTAGCATTTTGAGCAGGTCAGTTTTTTACTGGGTGAGACCATTCCACAAACTACTGGACATTAGGCATCCCTGGCCCTGAATAATAAGGCCAGTTGCCCTCCCGCCCCAGCCACCCCATGGCCCTATGATGCCCAAACACACCCCACATACATTTCAAAATGTCCTCTAAGTGCCCTCACCCCCTGTTCAAGAACTACCCATATAGTATTTATTAACAATTAATCTAATCTACTTATGGCAACTTGCCTGGCCTGTTCAAAAAACAAACAAACAAACAAACAAACAAACCCCAACAGTCTTATACAATATTCCAGCAAAATAAGGCATATTTAAGGCAATATAATTTATAAAGAAATATAATGAGAAGACTGGTAAAAAGAACAGATAATGGAAATAAACTAAAACTGTTTACTGAGTTGAGAAAATAAAAATAGCTGTTGACCAACAGAGCTGACAATCCAGATAAAGATATAAATCTATCATCTAAATCCCCTTTCCAAAATATAAGCCCTTCTTCCAAAAACACAACAAATGCCAAAAAACAAATAATCAGAGCCTTAAGACATTTTAAGAGTCGCAGACAGCTCCCATAATTTTCTGAAACTGTGAGTGGGCTAGGGCTACTCCAACATCTGCAAAGGACCTTACACTTTATTTCTTACCATATCAATGGTTAAAAAACTATACAGAGTAGAATATTTCTTGCTATCTCAAACTGTAAATATGTATTTGTTCTTTAAAATAAAATCAGTGCTTTGCATCTATAATTATAGTTATTATCTTGCTGAGAAACAAATTAATTTGTGAAACCAGTTGTGAAGGGTCTCACCACATGCCATGATTCGTGGGTAAAAAGTCAACCTGGAAAGCTAAAAATACAGAAAGTACAGGTCTTACCAATCACTCAGGATATGTGCTCTTAGGAAAAACTAAAATAGTTCCTCACCCAACAGAAATGAACCAAGATGTGGTAATACATACAGTTTCCTCTGCTGGCTAATTTTGAGCTGACACTACTCAGCCAAAAGGCATTGGATTAAGACTGCCCTGCTTCTTCCAAAAGATTTCCTTTAAACACCTTTCCATAGAAGGTGCCAAGTACAACTTGCTGAAAAGGATTAAAAAAGAATTTATCATTAGTACTAGAGAGGAAAAGAGGAGTGGAAAACATGGCAATGAGAGGGACTTACTGGACAAAAGTAGGTGTTCTCCACAATGTGATGGGCTACCATGCTGTTCTCAGCAGAGAGAGACATGATGAAAAGCAAAGCATCCCGGGCCTGCTGACCTACTGTCCCCTCTCGGTGAATGAAAGGTATCAGAAGGGAGAAGATGAGGAAGTTGGCCGCCCCTTGGTCCTCACTTGTGTGGAAAAAGAGTTCCAGAATGGACGAATCTTTGGCAAGGATGGAACAGAGCTGATTGAGCAGGACGACCAGCTTCCCCTCCACGGCAGGGGTGGCTGTTCCTGAACAAGAGCTCAGCAACATCATCAAGGGCTTCAGGATGGGCTTGTGGTGCAGCAGAGGCTGGTGTGACTGGGTGACCAGCATCTCATACATCTTTAGCTGCTCGATTTTCGTGTCGTCAGTAAATTCCCGCCTCAAGCTCCAAAGGAAGAGTTTCTCCATGATGTTCTCAGAGACCACGAATTCCAGAATTGGCCCCATCGCAGCATCCTTGGCTTGCTCTTCAATCAGCAAGAAGAGCATGTGTTCTACATAATTCTGCACAGCGCTGGCCTCATCTGGAGGGATGGATCCATATTTTGCCTGGGTGTTCTTCAAGGGGTCATGCTTCTCTAAGATCTTCACGACCTGTAACCAAATCAAATATCTGTCATCCATCCGATGTTTATCATAGTGAGAAAAACATATCACCCATCTTCACAGAAAAAAACAAGAGCCATGGCCCACAACCAGATGTGTGTGATCACTGTGTTTGTCTCTCCCTCATGAGAATAAAATGAAGGGGTTAAACTATAGAAAGAAGATGTTTGAAGATGTTTGTTTGTAATAGTTATAAATTTTGGCAACCTAATTGTCAAAGAAAGTCTATTATTGGGTCTATTATTACAAAGACCACGGAGCAAAATGAAAGAATTTAAGTGATGCATTAGATGAAAAAATAAGTTATTTTACATAGTTAGATCCATCATTATCAACTATGTCAAAAATGTGAAAAAAGACTGAAAATGAAAAAAGAGTGATTTGTGTTTTTGTGTTCAAGGTGATGACATTCTTAAATTGTTTTTTCTAAACTGTCAAGAACATTGCTTTTCAACTTTAAAATACATTAAATAAGTAAGACTACCTATGTTCTCCTATAAATTGAGTTGATTTGGAGATTACAGCAGGGAGACTCATCTGCCCTTGACAGAACAATATCCTTCCCTCTTCTTCTTGGATGGACAACCTCTTCAACTGGGCATGCAAGGTTAGGTAAAAGGAAACCGATGAACAGAAGACACCTACCTACTCGGCAGAATTGACTCTGACATATGGTACATGTTGAAACTAAAAAAATGAAAGTTTTGGACTCTGCATTTCTTTAAGCTGGAAAAAGTTCCAAAATAACCAATCACAAAATAAATTCCTAATGTACAGAATTTCTATTTGGGGTAATGAAAAATATTGGAAATAGTGGTGATGGTTGCAGAACATTGTGAATGTAGTTAATGCCATTGAATTGTATCCTTAAAAATAGTGAAGAGGGCAAGCTTCGTTATACGTATTTTACCACCAAAAAGAAAAAGTCAACTGACAGTTAAAAAAAAATGAATAAATCCCTAATTAGGACATGTGAGAGCTCTGGTGTTTCTCTCCCTTACCACTGCCGGCCTTTGAATGCTTCCTACCTCTCTGCTCATCAATACTGACCTCCACCTTGGGACCTGGAAATTAAAAGAATTTTATATCTTGACTTCCATGTAACTTTATGACCTAGAATTTCTATGATAAATACAGATGATGATTTTTAATCAAACATTGAAGACTTTCTTGGTTCCTTTTTGCCATTCTCTGCTGCATGCTATATAAAATGTTTGTCTTTTGCCGTACCCTCCTCACCCAGTTCTATAACATGCTGTTACATGTTCTGTATTTAGGTTACAAAATATTTGCAAGTCACTGAAGAAGCTGGCAAAGTTACATTGCTATGTCAGCATGCATGCAAGCAGTGACGGAAATTTATTACTCAGGGAAAGTTCTATGTTTTTCCCTGTCAGAACCAGGAACTTTTATACACCGGGCAATTACATCCTTATAAAATGAACAGAATTCTACAGAATCTGTAATCTCTATCAATTTCCATTATAAAATTAATAATGCTCTCACAAAGGGAAAAATTGCCCCAACAACCTTGAGTTGACATAGTCAATGAGAATGGCCTTCAGTTAGCAGCTACCCAGGATGTACATGACTCAGTGACAAGTGGCTCCGATGTGCCCACAGGACATCCCCTCTCCTTCGCTGAACACCGAACTCCAGAGGGCCTCTGACCCTTCCCAACTTCCAAGAAGCCGTCCAGAATTCCTCGAAGGCCTGACACTCGCTGGCAGAGACGCAGGGACCTGGCTGTCCTTTTTCGCTTTGGCCATGAGGACATCTCACAAAGTAGGATCACAGTACCACACGTGTCCAAAAGGGGGCTCCACCTCAACATAGAATTTCTCCCGCCCAAGAGCCCTAACTTCAAGGCCCCACATTCTGAAGAACAAATTAGCTACCTGTTTTCTCAGTTCTATAATTTCAAAGTCTGCATATTGAATTTACTTATGAGAGCTATCTATACATCTAGGCCTTGGGGTAGAAATGTAATTATACTTTTCATGTGTGTTCAGACTGTCTAAACTGTCTAAAATTGGGGCTGTTCATTATACACTGATAGTGGCACTGCAAATTAGCTCAATCTTTCTGGAAAACAATCTGGCAATAAGCAACAGAAGCTTTCAAATGGTTCCTGCCCTTTGACTTGTTAATCACACTTTACAGAAAATGCCTAAAGGAAACAACTCAAAATAATTTGTTAAAAAATGTTCACACCAATGATATTTTCCATAATGAAAAATAAAAATATTATTGACTCAGTCAAGAATAAGAGAATTATAATCAAAATGTTACATCCCCCTACGATAAAGCTATTAAAAATAAACACTAAGTGAATCATATAATTACTTGCAAATGTACACATGAAATAATTTAAGTTAAAAACTAAGTATATTGACAAATAGATGCATGATTAGAAGTGAATCCGAAAAGATATAAATGAGATTTTAAGGTTAATTAGTTCTTCTTTCCTATAAATTTATCTAATTTCATAATATAAATAAAAACAAAAGCAAAGTAATTTTGTACTAAAGTCCAAAAAGAGGACCAAAAACACTGTTAAAAACAATAATTAAAAAACTGATTCTTAGAAATCCCTAAGCAATATAAATTTATACATGTGCATAAGTATTTATATTATATGCATTCATGTAAATATTATATATCTAAAATGTATAAATGTAATATATACCAAAACTATTTACATGATCACAAGCTTTATTTTTCTCATAAATTAATCTTCATTTATATTATTTATTCCAATGTATTCCTTTGTAAGCAGATCTAACTTTTTTTTTCTATGAAAACCCTAAAAAAGAGAATCAAGATTTTTTATACAGAATGCAAACTATTTAGCAGCTTTTAAGTTGAAGCATGTTAACCCTCTTTATAGTAGCTCCTCTACACTGCCTTCTGGGTTAATGGGCCAAAAACATGAGAACAGAGCTACAGTAACCCACAGAGTTAGAAGGTTTGTTGATCATCTGGAATGCAGCAGATCCACTATGAGCCCTTTACTCATTCCCAGCCCCGGCCAGGGTGGTTTTACTGCCTGGAAGATGGGTGTGTTACAACCAAGGCCTGTGAGTCATGGGATACACAATGCCCAGCAAAGTACTGATTAAGCCTGTGTTGCCACATGTCCTTAACCTCTCTGCTTAGGTGGCAGGGCCCTCCCAGGCCACCTCCCTTTCCCTTCCAGGCAGACACTCCCATGACCTGCTTTTACAAGTGGGCTCTGGAGGCTCACACTCTACCTGGTTCCTATGCTAACAGAGAATGCCTAACACGCTACTTGGCTATAGAGTACAACTTGCACCAAAATGCCAAAGAACTTCTGTTCTATGTCCCAAGTTTGCTGCCCAGATGGTGCCATAGTTCTTTCAATTTCTGTAAACTGATTCCTGATGTGATCTGGACTTTTCCTTATTTTTTCTCTTTTGTGCCTGCCAAACTCCAATATTCCCGTCTCCCTAATTTCTGCCAACTGCCCACTTTCACTATCTATTCCGACCTTCCAGTCCTATGGATCCATGATCCCATGCTGTTCACTGTGGCTTCCCCAGGCCTAGCGAATTCTCTGAGTATATCCTCTATTTTACACTCTGAACCTTGCTTCAGATTTCCCAGCTCTAGCTTCTTCTCAGCTATACTTAGTCCCAGGGATTCAATTCAAGGGGGAAAAAATACACACACAATTAAGTGAGTTGGAGGAAGGAATCCAAGTAGAGAAGAGGGAAAGCAAGCAAAATACACTTTTCAAATATTTCTTTTACTAGTGTATATTTACAAAATACACTTTTCAAAAAGTTCACTTCATTAGGCTGAATGTAGCGTTTAAGAAACTAATCAACCCCTGATAAAGCCCACACTTATGAAGTAAGTAAACCAGCTGAGATGAGATATAGTACTGTAAATATTTTGCTGTTCATAGTTAGGCATTTGTTGATCCACAAACTTAACAAATACAAGCTGGTATATATATGTGTGAATCATGAGCCCAGATCACATATAGATCCACTTGTAAGTTATCACAATTCTAAAAAGAAACAAATGCACACACACACACAAAAAAATCAATAGTGTGAACAATGGCATACAAATTATCATCTGACCAATCTAGCTAAATTTTAACCTAACCAGAAAGTCATTTGACTTTAAATATGAGGATTATTGGGCCTGAACAAGATGAACAAGTAGCATATTTCTTTCATTAAGGAGTATCTACTCCCATCCTTAGCTCCAATGATGGGCTCCATCAGTCAATGATAATGGGCCTGAACTTCAAATATTCAAATTCTAAGGAGCTCATAGGCTTTCAGAATGTAAGGTCTAAATAAATCACATACTTACACCTCAAGCTAACAAATGATTAATCTTGCTTTCTTTCCCTCTGTCTGTTTTAGAGCTGGGACATCAGTTCCCTGTTCTATGACTGGAATTTAAACCATTGGCTCTTCAGTCTACAGGTGGCAGATTGTGGGGCTTCTTAGCCTCCGTAATTACAGCAAGAACTAGAAGGCAGTTTGCCTGGAATTGAAGCCAGAGCTGATGAAAAAATATGAGTACAAAGGAATTAAACCAAAAGGACCATTTACCAAATGATGAGGGGCACAGGAGCTAAAAGATGAATTCAGGGAGGTGAGGATAAAACTCAAGGAAAAAATGGAGTAAGTAAAACAGAAAAAAGATAGATGGACCTCGAGATAATCATGCTAAGCGAAATAAGCCAGATAGAAAAAGTTGAAAACCACATGATATCACTTACATGTGGGATACAAACTTAAAGGCCACAAACGAACAGGACAAACAAACAGAGACTCATGGACATGGACTATAGACTAGTGGTTACCAGAGGATAAGGGGGAAGGGAGAGGAGGAAGGTAAATGGGGTAAAAAGGGTCAAATATGTGATGACAGAAAGAAATCTAACTATGGGAGGCGAACACTCAATGCAATATATACTGTTAAATTGTACATCTGAAGCTTAT